TTTTTTTTTTTTTTTTTTTGCTACTTCTATATCCGCTTTAATTTTGCTTCAAATGGGGTTAAAAATTCATAACAAATTTTTTGTTAAAGATATTTTTTGAAAAGCAGTAACATTAAAAGAAAAAAATAATTAGCAAAGGGAAAAAAAAGAAGAAGACACCATTGAAGGTGTCAGAAAGTTGCCTGAAAGTGATAACACTGAAATGCAGAAAATTGAACCAATCATATTTATTAAGGTCAAATTTCTATTAGACATATTTTAGTTGTTTCACGCAGAAATGATGACCTTCAGGAGTTATCAGAACTTTAAATGTTACATTGTTTCAGCGGAAGCAACTCTTTAAAAATACAGACAAATATATGCCTATATCGATGCATATAAATGATTGAACAAATATGTCAATTATAATAACTACGGAAGTCTTCGGGAGTCCGTTGTCTTCGTCATTAAAAATGTTTCTGCCAATTTCGATCACTATGAAGGGTGAATGTTGTGGTTTTTCAACAAAAATTACAAAGACATTCACCTTCGCACATTCTTTCCCACCGTTATTGTATCGTTTTCTAGAGGATTTTAAAACTTTGCTACGGCGGCAATGACAGCTGCATTAGAATTATTTTGGTTGCCATTATGCTGATCGTTTTTTTAAAAATCGCTTTTCTTCTTTGCAACTTTTTTGTCCTTGCAACTTTTATTATTAGCTCAGAAATAATCAAATTTGTGTCTTTCAACCACCAAATCTTTCTTTTATGCAAGAATATAGGAGAGGCTGTTAAAAGTTATTATAATTCAGTATCGGCGCTTGTTTATACTAACAAAAGAGAAGAAAATTCATTGAAGCTGATTAAACAAAGAAATGAGAGTATTTGTTCTACTTCTTAAAACTTTTATTAACAGCTACTTTTATCTGCTCATCCGAAGTCGTTTAGCTAGTTTATTTTTCAAGTACTTTCCCGCTTCAGAAACTGCTACTGATTGATCTCCAGAATTTATTGAGGTTTCAAATTTTGAAAGCTGGTTGAATGAAGAAGCTGTATTTTCGTGTGCAGGTGCATCCACAAGGTTTACTGTCGGACCATTTAATTCATCAAAAATCTGAGGTCTTCCAGAATGAATAAAGGATGGAGCGAAAATTTCTGAGACACCGCAGTCAGAAGGACAATATGCGGCCGGTTCACCTTTAATAAATTATCGTGTAAGCTCATTTTATTTAATAGCCCTTAGTAAAATTTTTTTATGAATTTGGATCTAT